TTACTGTAGTGTCTGTTGTAAATCCATGCAGGAACATCAGGCTCCAGAGAGTCAGAGGGAGGCAGAGACAGAAACACATATCCATAGATATTTTAGTTAAATGTTTGCGGCTGAAAATGACAGGGAAAAAAAATTAGTCTTTTTGCCTCAGTGTTTTTCATGGATCTTTGGTAAGTTACTGAATGCAGGGCTGGAAAGTGAGACTGAGTTAACAGTGAGGAGCTAAGGTGTCTGTTAGGCGTGTAAAGTATACTTTTTATTTATTTTGTAGATCAAACTGTTGCACTGATGTAGAGAGTTGTTAAAGAACAAAACTTGTTTAGATTTTATTTTTGTTGGTCAAACTGCTGTATTGAGTTTAAAACTTCCAAGTCCTATTTTATGAGCTGTTTTCTACTTTGGTTTTAGAAAGAAGTAGAACCTGTTCAATTACCAGTCAATTTATATCAGTGCATTTTGACCAATAAAATATATCAGAATCTGGTAGCCTGTCTGTGCTACCAGAGTATTTAGCTTGCTAGTTGTGAGAGGCAAATGCTAAAGTGAGTGTTCATCCTGGAAAGACGGTAATTATTCTGCATAACTTTAATCTGATTATTGGATTGTAAATAGTAACATGTTAGAATACTTGTTACTGAAACAAGGGTCAGATTAGAGTAACGCATTACTGATATGTTGATGGCATAAATAGTTTGACATTTCTGCTTAAGATATTTACTGATCTGTCAGGTTTCCGATATGCGTCCCCCCCAATGACAGACTCGTTCCTACGCCCTTGTTCAGAGGATAAACTGCTGATTCTTCAGAAATTATTCAGGTTTAGAGAAAAATCTGACGATTTTATCTAAATTATTATCGATCAGTTCAGCCTCAGACGATCCACATCCTGGAAGAGTAAGGATTTAAATCATTTGATCGACTGAAAGTTGATTCTGATGATCAGAACTCTGCCGACCCATCATGCTTTGCTCCCAATTAGATATTTAATGATTTATTCTGATCAATAGTCTGGTTCAGTTCAGATTCATTTACTCTGAATTATTAATAAATCCTGGAGAAACCTCAGAAACGCTGCTGGGAGAAAATGAAACAATCCCACAAACTAGCATAAAAGTTTTTATTGTGTTGAAATGAACAAACTTCAACTTCATGAACCCTGTGGTTATTATCTGGTGACCTTTGACCCCTAAAGCCACACAGCAGGAACAAGTAAAACCAGCAGAGTGAATTTGTTCCCTGATCGGCTGCTTCCATCGTTCTTCACTCCGTCATTCTTCCGTCCTTAGTTCTTCTGTCCTTCATTCTTCAGTCCATCTTTGGTCCCTGCTGATCAGAACCAGGTGAGTCTCTGATGACTGAAGAACATTTCAGAACCAACCAGAACCTCACCTGGACGAACAACCAGCTGGACGCTGCAGACAGGTTCAAGACCAAAGGTCTGCTTCTCCAGACGACACTGGTATGTTCCGGTGTCGTTGGGTTTCACGTTCTTCAGAACCAGAGACACGTCTCCGTCCTTCATCTGCTCGTCCTTCAGGCTCGCCCGGTTCTGGTAGGACGGGTTCTGGCTGGTTGGATCTTCTCCTTTTCCTCTTCTGTAGAGGAGAACATCTTCTGTCTCCGGATTCAATCTGGTCCACTCCACGGCTGTCACTGGTTCTGATCCATTAGCTTTACATGGCAGAGTGACCGGCTGACCCGGTTCTGCTGAGATTACTTCCTGTGCTGGAGGAAACGGAGCAAAGAGGTCAAAGGTCAGAGTGATGAGACTCCACATGGAGGACAGAGACCAAAGTATCTGAGTTGGATTTTAAAAGGTTTCGATTGGTGGGTCAGCGGTTCGGCTCGGCCCACATGGAGGCCTCAGTCCTTGACGTGGCGGTCACAGGTTCGATTCCCGGCCTGGTGCTGCATGTCTGCCCACTTCTCTCATGACCCGCTTTACTGTCCATCACTATCAAATAAAGGCCAATAAAACCTTCCCTCTGGGCTCAGGGTGTCTGTGGGTCGGTCCGGTTTTCCGGGTTATCGTACTTACTGGTACCCTGACTGGCTCTGGTCTAGTCCAATCCCAGCAGCCGAGGCTGATCGCCCCGCTCTGCCCAGTGTGAGGAAAATAATACAGATGTTTAAATATTTGAGTCTGTGAGATAATTCTGACGACTTCAGGTTGAAACCAGATTAAATTCAGACTGAAGCAGCAGCAGGTCGGCCATCAGAGGAAACCTGAGCAGAACCGGGCCTAGAACCAGATCCAGGCCCAGATGAGCAGATCAGGATAATTTACACCCAGAACAGAAAAATGTCCAAACGTGGAGCTCTGTTCAACCTCTTAATGTGTTTCCTGTTTGTTTACAGAATAAAACAAGCAGGAAACACATTAAACTCAACCAGTTTTACTTGTCATTAGACTCACGTGGGGCGTAGGCCATGGAGACGCTCAACAAGAGAAAAATCCAAACCACAGCTCGTCTGGCGGCCATTTTGTTGGATCTTCAGGTAAAAATTATTCTTTATCCAGAAAATACCAAAAATAAATAAGCTTTTATGAAAAATGGAAAGGTTTTTTGCTCCGGTTGCTACGGTACGTGACACAGCAATGTAAAATGGCCGACTGCTGACGCATGCGCACCTGACACATGACGCGCACCTGAAGAACTGACCTTCCGGGTTTCCATACTTCACTTCCTGCTCCAACAACATTTGATTTCTGGTCCAATAATTCCTCCTGACTTTCAGACGGCGGCGGCTGCTTCATAAGGAGAATATTTCATATTCCAGAATAATCTGTCCAGTTTAACTCCAGTCCTGATCCCAGTCCTGGTCCAGTCCTGGTCCTGTCCTGGTCCAGGATGTCATTGACGTTGGAGGAACTAAACTGGTTCCAGTCCTTTAGACTGAGTCATATTCCAGTTTCCCCTGAAGAGGTTAAACCTCAGAGAACTTCCTGGTGAAATGTTGGTCAAATAAGTCATAAAATGACCTGAAAAGACCATAAATCTCCCTGGTCTCATCAGATGAATATTGATCTGATTGTTTAGATCATTTTTTAGACCATTTCAGAGTCTTTAACCAAGACGTTGTACCTGTGTCAGTAGAAACAGAACATTTCTCACCTGTCTGGTTTAAAGCTGATGAAGTTCAGCCGCCCAGTACAGCTGATGGTGCAGTGACTGGTTTCCATCCTGAATGACAGATTTCCTGCCTGGCTGCTGATAAGTCAGTGGTTCTGGTCAGACAGGTTGAACCAGGTGACGCTATGAGCTGGATGCTGATTGGTGGATGAGTCCAGACCTGAGCTGCTCCACCTGTCTCCATCAGCTGACAGGATCTACTGTCAGCTCTGCAGCTTGTTCCCATTGGGTTGTCATGGCAACAGGGTTTAAACTTTTCATCACAAAACAAGAGAAGGTGTTACTAAAGCAGATTATCCTGAACCTGTGAGTTTATTCAACATACCATCATTTTAAGCTGCTGGTCTGACAGTTCAGCTCTCAGCCTGTGAAGGATTTTATTTCTGAATTTAATCTAAAACAAAACGAATAAAGGACGTCTCCACCTGCTACGTGTTTTCTCAGCACTACATACCTGATTTATTGGCGATGAAACAGTGAATTTAAAACTTGTCGAGCCTAAATTTGTACCTTAATAAACAACTCAAGACACTGCAAACATCTGAGTCAAAACAGAAAAATACCTCAGATTTTTAAATCTACGCCTTGACAAAAACTTCCTCGAATCAGGAAGTTTCAGTCATTTTTCCACTAAAGAAACAAACGAGTCAAAGACAAACCCAACATCAGGTCAGTCTGGGGTCTTTATACCAGCTTCAGCCAATCATCTGGATTTAATGATTTGTTCAGTCATGATCTTTTTAAATATTTAGACGTACTGAGCAGAGCGCTGCTGTGCAGAGCTCATTTACATGAGGAGCGGCTGCATGCGTTGTTTTGGTGCGTCACAGTGAACTGTTGTCATGGTAACAGGTCAGACCGGTCCGACCGGCTGTGGACCAATCAGAACTCTTTCCTGTATCAACATGGTGGCTGTGGGGTGGAGACCTGTGGCTCCTTTTAACGTCCAGATTTTTACACAAATGCTATTGTTATTTCAATAACTTTAATTTAAATAAAGATAACAATCGCTGAGGTGATCAGAGCGTGATGAAAAACAGTCCCACCGTTCACAGCAGGGAGCCGTTCAGAGGAATCGATTTGTTCCTGAACATGAATTTAAGCATAAATCAGTAATAACTATAACATGTTGACAATGTTACAGCCTGAAGGAAACCCACCATGCTGTGGGATGAAGCCGGAAGCAGAAACGTTTCAGTCACTTTGAAATATTTTATTGACCCACTGAGGGAAAATTCAGGTTTGCTAATCTAACCTGATGCCACTTTCAGTTCAGTAATCAGATTAAACTAGTTTTTATCATTTTATATCTTAAAATTGTATATTGTTGCTTTCCTTTTTGGTCTTGGCTGCTGGAACAGAACAGACAGAATAGTGAATCGTTTTCAAAAATGAGGAAAAAATGTTTATGTCATGAGTGACATCAACTCATTCAACTCAAAGTGATCCACTGCTGTCAACTGTTGCAAACTAAATGACATGAAATATACCGTCTGTCTCTCCATGGATCTATGTCAGCCTGCTGAGGACAACAGCTTCCTGGACTTTTCTAAACTAAATGTTTGGTGTTTAACTTTTTTCCTCAGACTGATTGGTGTGACTGTGAACCTGATCCCAGCTCGACTCTGGAGAGACTCTAGTCTCTTCTTCATCGCAGCTTTTCGACCCAAGTCAGGTGCGGAGCGATGATAGGAGACGGATCTGAAGGTTGTGGAAGTCCGACTAGTCAGCCAGGTTTCAAGTCTCTGGACCTCCCAGCTCAACAGGATCTAAACACCAGGGCCGTACAGAAACCTTTGGGGGGCTCAGAGTAAAAAGGGGCCCAATGAACAAGATTAACATTTAATCAGATCAAACTGCATCATCATGTGGATAATGCAGAGCTAATCTAGTCCATGTTTCTCTGATTTAATGTTTCTGCTGCTGATCTGAGACTGAAGCTGTTAAACAGACCAGAGGAGGTCAAAGGTCATGAAGTTATGAAATAACAACGTTTGATGATATTTTACTAAATAAACTCTGATAATATCTTTAACCTCTAGAACAACTTGGCTGCAGACTGAATTAAAGACCAAAGAGCTCAGAGGGTTTAACTCTACATCAGTTTTCTATGTTAGAAACTCTAGATCTAGAATTATAAGACTGAGATATCAAGGCAAAGAAACTCAGTAGCTGCTGGTAGGGGCCATTCAGGGGCCCCTCCAGACATTCAGGGGCCCTCCAGACATTCAGGGGCCTCCAGACATCCAGGGCCCTCCAGACATTCAGGGCCCTCCAGACATTCAGGGGCCCTCCAGACATTCAGGGGCCCTCCAGACATTCAGGAGCCTCCAGACATTCAGGGGCCCTCCAGACATTCAGGGGCCTCCAGACATTCAGGGGCCTCAAGACATTCAGGGGCCTCCAGACATTCAGGGGCCTCCAGACATTCAGGGCCCTCCAGACATTCAGGGGCCTCCAGACATTCAGGGGCCCTTCCAGACATTCAGGGGCCTCCAGACATTCAGGGGCCTCCAGACATTCAGGGGCATCCAGACATTCAGGGGCATCCAGACATTCAGG